GGGAAGTAACTAAACTGCTTTTGATTTTACAAGCTTATAGGTGGAAAGGACTTGCCTGGTATTAGATGAGACTTTAAACTGTGGACTTTCGAGTTAATGCTGAAATTAGTTAAGACTTTAAGGAACTGTTGGGAAGGCATGATTAGTTTTGAAATGTGAGGAGATGAGATTTGGAAGGGGCCAGGGGCAGAACGACATGGTTTGGCTGTGTCCCCACCCAAATCTCCAACTGTAGCTCGCATAATTCCCATACATCATGAGAGGGACCTGGTGGGAGGTAATTGAATTATGGGGGCAGGTCTTACTCATGCTGTTCTCAGGACAATGAATAAGTCTCAAGAGATCTGATGGTTTTATAACTGGGAGTTCCCCTGCACATGCTCTCTCTTGCCTGCTGCCATGTAATATGTGACTTGCTCCTTCTTGCCTTCCACCATGATTGTGAGGCTTCCTCAGCCATGTGAACCTGTGAGTCAATTAAACCTCTATCCTTTATAATCACCCAGTCTTTGGTATGTCTTTATTAGCAGCATGAGAACAAACTAATACAAACTTTACTCAGTATGTATAACTAAAACTACCAGATATAAGAGAAACATGTCTATATGCAGAACATATCATGAAAGTAAAATGTAAAGAAAGTTGAAAGGACAGAGTAATTTTTCTTTTACATGAAGGAGAAATTTATAGGGTCATGATAATGGGTAAAGAAAAGTAAATTTTTGTTCTATGGTAAAATGTAGGATACAATTGATGTTTTAAGTAAGTTGTAGAAGGTTTGTAGAAGATGGATCTTGTGAAAGAAATTTTATGTGTGATCAAGTTGGCTAAAATTAAAAGGGGATTATTTAGTTTTTATAAAAACTTAACATTAATATTAAAAACATACCGATGCAGGGTCAGGGTCTGAGGCCCACTGTTAGAATAACAAGGTTTTCTTAGAGCATTGATTTGCTCTCTAACAGAAAATGTTAAAAGGTTATGAAAGGTTTCTGAAAATCTTATCTTGTGTGGTCAAAGCTGATTAAGATTGGATGAATTTGTTTATAAGGTTTTATTAAAATAACTTTGCCATTAATAATATACTGATGCAAAGATAGAAGTCGGTATTCTATTATTCAAATTAAGTACTCTTCATTTCTAGCAATATAGTTGTTTGTATAAATTCAACAAAAATCTGTATTCTTTTTCTAAGAGACATAATTAGATATACTGGTTCTTTTACCAAAACTTTGAGTGAAATGGCTACATTTCAGATACAATCAGACTGCTTTGAGGAACTGATGTAGACTTTATAGAGCCAATAAAAAAGCCCTTGGAAAGACTGGTCTGGTACCTTCTCTGCACAGTTCCTTTATAAAGTTTCTGTCCTCATGGTAACTAAAGAATGTCACTTTCTGACAGTCCCAGGAACCTCAAGTTATTTTGTGATCTCAAGAAGAGCAGAGTTGACTCATTTTTTACAAGTACTGCAGACAGTCTGGTGGCAAATCCTTTGATTGGTTGGCCTTGGGCTTTTAAAAATTGAATCTGAGGCTCTTATGGAAGTCCCAGTAAAGCTAACTTAAAAGACTAGGCCATTCACTGTTCTTTTGCACTTCCTGCAAATAAGCAGGCAAAATATCATAACACTAAAACTTATTTTGCAAGTAAATTGGTTCAACTAAGATTTATCTTTGGTAAAAATGGAGAACTGGATAAAGAAAAAGTGTTTCAGAAAAAAAAAAAAAGAAAGAAAACTATAGTATGCCTGTTACTAGATTCTAGTCTTGTCTATTGTTTTTGAATTTTATTATTTGCCTATAATTTGGATTAAATATTGAATTATTTCCTGGCTGCAAGTCTCTAAAGAAGAACCTAGATTTAATTTTCTTTTTTTTAATTGCATTTTAGGTTTTGGGGTACATGTGCAGAACATGCAAGATAGTTGCATAGGTACACACGTGGCAGTGTGATTTGCTGCCTTCCTCCCCTTCACCCACATCTGGCATTTCTCCCCATGCTACCCCTCCCCAGCTCCCCCCCCACTGTCCCTCTCCTATCCCCCCAATAGACCCCAGTGTGTAGTGCTCCCCTCCCTGTGTCCATGTGTTCTCATTGTTCATCACCTGCCTATGAGTGAGAACATGTGGTATTTCATTTTCTGTTGTGTCAGTTTGCTGAGAATTATGTTCTCCAGATTCATCCATGTCCCTACAAAGGACACAAACTCATTGTTTTTGATGGCTGCATAATATTCCATGGTGTATATGTGCCACATTTTCACAGTGCAGTCTATCATCGATGAGCATTTGGGTTGGTTCCAGGTCTTTGCTATTGTAAACAGTGCTGCAATGAACATTCATGTGCATGTGTCCTTATAGTAGAATGATTTATAGTCCTTTGGATATATACCCAGTAATGGGATTGCTGGGTCAAGTGGAATTTCTATTTCTAGGTGCTTGAGGAATTGCCACACTGTCTTCCACAATGGTTGAACTAATTTACACTCCCACCAGCAGTGTAAAAGTGTTCCTTTTTCTCCACATCCTCTCCAGCATCTGCTGTCTCCAGATTTTTTAATGATCGCCATTCTAACTGGTGTGAGATGGTATCTCAATGTAGTTTTGATTTGCATCTCTCTGATGACCAGTGATGATGAGCATTTTTTCATATGTTTGTTGGCCTCATGTATATCTTCTTTTGTAAAGTGTCTGTTCATATCCTTTGCCCATTTTTGAATGGGCTTGTTTTTTTCTTGTAAATCTGTTTGAGTTCTTTGTAAATTCTGGATATCAGCCCTTTGTCAGATGAGTAAACTGCAGAAATTTTTCCCCATTCTGTTGGTTGCTGATTCACTCTAGTGACTGTTTCTTTTGCCATGCAGAAGCTGTGGAGTTTGATTAGGTCCCATTTGTCTATTTTGGCTTTTGTTACCAATGCTTTTGGTGTTTTGTTCATGAAGTCCTTGCCTACTCCTGTGTCCTGAATGGTTTTGCCTAGATTTCCTTCTAGAGTTTTTATGGTGCCAGGTCTTATGTTTAAGACTTTAATCCATCTGGAGTTAATTTTAGTGTAAGGTGTCAGGAAGGGGTCCAGTTTCTGCTTTCTGCACATGGCTATCCAGTTTTCCCAGCACCATTTATTAAACAGGGAATCCTTTCCCCATGGCTTGTTTTTATCAGGTTTATCAAAGATTGTATGGGAGTAGATATGTTTTGTTGCCTCCAATGCCTCTGTTTTGTTCCATCGGTCTATATCTCTGTTTTGGTACCAGTACCATGCTGTTTTGATTACTGTAGCCTTGTAGTATAGTTTGAAGTCCGGTAGTGTGATGCCTCCTGCTGTGTTCTTTTTGCTTAGAATTGACTTGGCTATGCAGGCTATCTTTTGGTTCCATATGAAGTTTAAGGTGTTTTTTTCCAGTTCTGTGAAGAAGGTCATTGGTAGCTTGATGGGCATAGTGTTGAGAGATTTAATTTTCATCGTGATGTTTTTAGCTGACTCCCTAATGGAATAGGTTTATTTTTGTTGTTGTTTTGGCATTTAAATTTTATTTTTAGTTATAATGCTTACATAAATTATATTTCCACTATCTCTTGTTGTTTTCCTTCTTCTGAGGAAACTAAATTGATAATATTCTGAATCTAGGTAGAATTCAAAAAGCAACAGCAATTATAAATCAATAACTTTTGACAGAACTACTTGAGAATGAATCTTCCTAATGATGGACACCTTGATACTCAAATTTTAATCATCCATGCTGTCAAGAAGAAATTTTTTTATCAAAAGGGGGAAATGAGAAAAGAATATAACTTTTATCTGATGAACGCAAGTTATTTTAATTCACTGGCCTGGAGAGACATTATAATGAGACAGCAATCACATCCCTCTACTCCTTGAGCTATTTATTTATCTTTTGTAACTGCTTGCTATCACCATAAGTAGCTGTAACTTATCCTCATGATGCCACACTGAACACTATAACCCACACACGAGAGCTCAACAATGGACAACCAATGTTATTTGTCAATGTTATTTCTGTAAATCAATAAGAATGCCTGACAAACAACTTTGTATCAGCTCACTCCCTGTCTCCCATTTTTCCTTAAAAAAATCTATTTGTAACTTCTGTTAATTGGAGTGAACGTTCAAGGCAATTTGAGTCTATGCTCCCAGGTTGCAATTCTCAAGCTTGACCCAAAGAAACTCTCTACCTATATTAACTTTGCCTCAGGTTCTTCCTTTAAGTTGACAGGATAAAAAATTTAAAATGTCAAAATAGTATTTTTGATTTATTAAGGCTAAAGCTAGAACAAAAATACCTTTTACTATTAAAAATAAAAGACTTAATTTAAGTAATTTTTAAGTGATCTGTTAACAGGGTAATTCATAAGATAAGAAGATATATAAAGACTAATAATTTGTTGACAAAGCCTTTGAATTTTAATACATTTTCCCTTCACTTACTGTGGTTAATTTTTCCTGTCATTTATCATTGTACCAGTTACACTATTATTTGGAGGAAAAAGTAAAATGCAAGCATTAAGGGATGCACTAAAAGTAAATATTTTTTCCAATACCAAGCACATGATCAATCATATGTTCCATGCTGAACACATATTCTTCTCCCTGTGTGGGGGTGCCAGCTGTTTAATGGTACACAGAGAAATATAGTTTACCCTTAATCCACTCAATCACATAGGGGACACCAATATAACATATGTCAGTGATTTTCTTTCTTGGAAATGTTCTACTATATATTTAACTCCTTCTCTTTATCTTTTCAAAAATTTTAAAACTTGCATAAAAATTTTCAAAACACTTTTACTTAATTATTTTTATTTGGAAAAAGTATAGCATGTGAAAATATTTAAAACATTAAATCCTAAATATGCAAACTTTATATCAAAAGAAACATCATTAATAATCTAATATAATGAATAACACAAAAAATCCTATTAATATATTTTCCATCAAAATATTGACACTTATTTTTTTTTAATTGGAATGTTACATACCTGAGCTTCTGGTTGTACTGCTTGACCTTCTCCAGTGAGGCTGCATTTATCTGAGCTTGAAATTCTTCCACAGAAACACTGTCTCTATAATAATATCCTTCCATGCTCTCCAGTGCTGTGGAAACCAGTAAACATACTTTGCAAACAATTTTATAACTCAATTTCTCCACATGTAGTAATAATTTTATTGATTATTAGTAAATTTAGCAAAGAGGACCAATTATCAACATATATGCAAGAGAACTATATTAAGTTCAAAAATGAATGAAAACTGTTCTGCTCTCAAAATAAATAGCAAACATTTGGCGATTTTTCTGTCCAGTGGGCAGAAAAAATTCTGGTGTAACTGTCCTCTATTTTTAAAACATTTTGTATATGTTGCAGGAGACCAAAATATGCCACTCCAAAATATAACTGTCGGAGACCAGAATATACCACCCCAAAATATTCCTCCTTGGCATAAGGATTATTTTGATCTGGTTATTTTGAGAAACTGCACACAGACACAGGAGAAACTCTGAAAACAGAGTAGAAGTTTCCCTTTAATAAAGAAAATTTACATCTAAGAAGGAAGTCTCCACTTGTAAGAGTGTCTCTCTCTCTGTACTAGGAAGAGAAGGAAGGTGATCACAGAGAGTCTTACCTGCACAACAAATCTTTCCTTTATTTGATGGTGCTTTCCTGGTCACCTCCTCGTAACTGGGCCTGCCCTAGACCCTTCTTTTTCTGTTACAGTAGAACCTTGGCATTTATGCCTAAGTTCAAAGCTATCTCTTTCAGATTTAGTCACTTTTCTTTAGGTATCACTCATGTATACATGAGGTATATACGTTATTAAACTTCTGTTTGTTTTTCTCTTGTTAACTTGTCTTTTGTTATGGGGTCCATCCCAACTAAGAACTATGAAACATATAGAGAAAATTATTTTTCCTCCTCTACAACATTATTTGTGAAGCTAAACTCATACTTCCTATGTATTTTATATTTATACACACACATCTATTACATATGACACATATATATAAGAAGCAGAACTGTACGTTATATGTCAGAGGCCAGGAATGGTAGCTCATGCCTGTAATTCCAGCACTTTGAGAGCCAGGCAGGAGGATCATTTAAGGTCACAAGTTCAGAACTAGCCTAGGCAACATAGCAAGACCCTGTCTCTAAAAAAAATTTTTTTTAATTAGCCTGGCATAGTGGCATGCACCTGTAGTTCTAGTTACTCAGGAGGATGAGGTGGGAGGATAACTTGAGCCCAGGACTTCAAGACTGCAGTAAGTAGGATTGTGCCACTGGACTCCAGTCTGGGGAACAGAGTAAGACTCTGTCTCTTAAAACAACAGTAACAACAACAAAAACACGTCACAGTAAATAAATAGAAATGTTCACTCCCCATGTAGATTCACATTCTTAATTGTAAATAAATAACAACCTTAAGAAATATTAATGTAATAAATAAAAAGTACAAAATGAAATCTTAGAAAATCACCTCTACTCAAATTGTCAGTTAATTTAGTTATAACATCCCACTAATTTTAAATGTATTTTGAATAGCATATACATTTTTAAACAATAGTTTTGATTATTTGTTTTTTCTTTAACCTTTGTGAGGTATGATTTTAAAAATTTTGGAGAGGAATTAAATCACAGGAAAGTGGCCCAGAAATACAAGATTTCCTGTGGAAAGGTTGCCAGTAGCAGGAATGGCATGGATCCAAGTTGGAAATGTAAATTATTTGTCTTGAAATGCATTACTACTTATGAGCCTCAATTTTTAATACATGATTTCAAAATTGATTAAACAATCTCCTTCCAAGACTGCTAAATGCACTAGTTTCTAAACTAAATCATGAGTTTTCTTCAAAATGAAAGAAACTATCACCATTTTGAGGGGGAAAAATAGGAAAGTGACTGCTAATTTTAGCTGTGCTATAGTTTTATTAAACTATTCAGAATTCCAGAACACTGAAGAAAATAATAAAATTTTAAAGATCATTGTTAAATTTGAAGATTTTTTTAACATGGAAAATTAAACAATTGGTTTATAATTGAGAAAAGTAATTAAGGAAGATTAGGGAGAAAACATACTACATTTATTTCAGTATAGAAAATTAAATCTGTGTGTGTGTTTTACAGATTTTTAACTTGTTTATTACTTATGGCTTCTGGGAAGGAGCGTAGGAAACTTTACCCTTAAATATGGCACCCTGGTATACTGATTACTTTAAATTAAAGGCTTCTGTAAGTCAGCAGATATCGGATGAGGCTTTTCTCTGATATGCCCTATCTACCTTAAGACTAGCCCTGTAAAAGAGAACACAATTACTTTCCCTACCCTCCATGGAGTTCTCATTATGTATCCTACAAAAGAAGACTGCAGAATGTAACTCACCTAGAAGGACTTTTCCCCCAAGATAATATCTATTTCTCCAGCTCATTCAAATTCCAAGACAATCACTAACAAGTTAATTTCTGTCTCATGCATCTATTCATTCTCCCTAATAAACATGTTACCACCTCCTACATTCTCTATCTCCCCCATCATCTATGACATGGATGAATCTGGAGAACATCATTCTCAGCAAACCGACACAAGAACAGAAAATGAAATACCGCATATTCTCACTCATAGACGGGTGATGAAAAATGAGAACACATGGACACAGGGAAGGGAGTACTACACGCTGGGGTCTATTGCAGGGAATAGAGGAGGGACAGCGGGGAGAGGGGAGCTGGGGAGGGATAGCCTGGGGAGAAATGCCAAATGTGGGTGAAGGGGAGGAAGGCAGCAAAACACACTGCCATGTGTGTACCTATGCAACTATCTTGCATGTTCTGCACAAGTACCCCAAAACCTAAAATGCAATAACAAAAAAGAAGGATCTATAAGTATCTGGACCTCACTGGGTTGTTGAGTAATCACTCTCCCATGACTTTGCCCTGTGCACATTAAATAAATTTTGTATACTTTGTTTCCTTATTAATCTGCCTATTGCAAGTTTATTTTCAGGAAACCTTCAAAGGGAAAAGGGCAGGTTTTCACTCTTAGGGCCTACATCTTCATTAATTAGAATAGTTGGAACTGGCTCAACAAGTTTCTGGTGCTGAATACACATAGGAAATAAAAGACTCTCTCCCTGATAAAATAATCCTTAAATATGTGCCACGTTCACAAGTTGCTATTCATAAAAGGTAAATATCCCGGGAGGATTCCGTCTATCAATAGTCATACTTCAGCATAAATTACTCTTACTAGTTGGAAAGCTGATGAAAGCCCTTGCATCAGAGTAAAACTCCAGTTTCTTCTGTGCGACTTTGGTCAAGTTAATTAACATCTCAGATTCTCAGGTTCTGTATTTTTGATGTGCAAAATAAATGTACCTACTAATTATGGTTAATGAGGAATAATTTAATTAAATAGTAGTATTAAGACAGCCTGTGAGTATTCTTACTTACTGAATGTGTTTTATTTACTAGGCAACATGCCAAATGCTCTACAGGTATTACTTAATTCAATTTCGTTGAGATACAAAATATGAAGAATGTGCTTAGCCAAACACAAAGTTTGGAGGGGACTAAGAGAAGGGTCCATGCAAAACCACTTTGGTTTGTGACTTAAGACCAGAAAGACCAGAAGGAGAACAGTGAGAAAGGACAGCAGTGGAACTGTGAGGAAAGGGAGTTTGGAGGAAACCACTTGGGAACAAATTTTTATAAAGATCTTGATGGTTCAACTTTGGCCAGAATGGCCAGTCCTGTCCCAAGTTTTGTTCCAATATGAAAACCACTATATAAACATAATTTCATGTTTTAATGAATACTTCTGCAATCTCATACATTTCCATTTTCATTACATTTTTGACAATATCATTCCAAATTAACAAAGCAGTTAAAATTCACAATCACATAAAATGTTTTAAAAATTGGAAAAGTGCCTAACAATTTTGCCAAGAGTCTTAGTAAGAAATATGTGTCACATGTATAGGGTGGTGGGGAATGCACAAAAAAAGATGAGAAGATGAGTTCTATATTTAAAAACTAACATTTGAATGACAGATAAGAGGCAAGACGACAATACTCCCTATTTTAGCTAAATATCTTGTTTATTTATTGTTATAAAAAAAAACCCAGAACAACATTCTACCAAATTAAATAACATGTTACTTTCAAACATGTTAAATTTAGCATTTCCTTGCCTAGTTTCCTTAGTTCTCATCCATAAAATATTTCTCAAAAGCAGTACCGACATATTTGGTTGAATATTTAGTTTATTTACTTCTATTACTTTTGAAGTAGAGGAAGAAAAACATTCTATTAAATTTAGGTAGTCAGCAAAAAAGGAAAACCTAATGCATGTTAGAGAAACTTAGAGATTATTCTTAGGCTGAAGCAAGTTACATTTCCACTTACTCAAAATACCTTTTGAGCCATGTCCAAGAAAGAGACGAATTGGGAAAAACATAGGGTCTCTGAAGAATAATTTTAAGAACAGTGTCAGTAAGCTAACACTTACTTTTGATAGCAGACTTTTTTGGTTAAATAAGACACAGCACATGCACTGCTAGAATTATCCAGAACTGGTCACCAAGAATCACAACTCCTCAGAATTGGTCCCAGTTATTGGGAGAGAAGCAAGATTTGTTGATCCCATTATGAAAATTATGTGAGAATGGCCATGTGATATACAATAATGTTTTGTGATTCTAAATGTCTCAAAATGGAGTCATGCATGACAAGCCACTCAGCCCACAGTGAAACTGCTGACTCTTCAAAGTCATAAGCAGATGTATGGTGGACTGAGGTGATAAGACAACACCTGCCATGGCCTGACACCTCAGAGACCCCATAGGAAAGTGAAGGCAAAAGGCAGCTGAGATAATGACCATGGACACACTCCTGTGGAGGGCCATAAAATCAGCAAGAAACTGGCCATAGTTGAGATGCCTGCAGAGGCTTTGCCAGGAGAACTCTGAGGCCTCCTTGCCATTGGCAGTGGCCGCTAGAAGCTCTGCCAGGAGAATAGCAGTGACCCCCATCCCCTTGCTGATCCATGTTTCCAGGGAAATTCAGGCCTTCCTAGTGCCTCAGTCAGACTGCAGACCTCCTGAGCTA